TGGAGGTTGCTGCTGCTTGGGGCTCTGGGAGTCTGCAGGGTACAGATGTTTGTGCTGATGGAAAGGGCTGGTGCCAGCCAAGGGACCTGTGGGTGCCTGGGGTCACCTTCCCAACTTGGGGAACAACAGCCCTCGAGTTGCTGTGGAAAAGCTAACAAAGTGGGAAAGATGCTAGTGAGAGTTGCAGTGTAAACTCCATTTCTGCAAGGCTCAAAGACAGCTGATCAGAAGAAACCTGTTTATTGTGAGGTTTAGGAAAACAATTTCCATGCAAATTGCTTTTTTTTTTTTTTTTTTTTGGCAAGTAATGGGGTTGATACAGAACTTGGAATTACAGTTTTAAGAATACAAATACATAGTATCTTCTTCAACAAACACAAAACAAATTTCTCCAGGGAACATCAAATGAGCAAATGTTTCCTAAAATAAATGGGCAACAAACATGGGCTGGGGGGGGCAAAACAACTCAATCCAACTCAGAAGCCAAAACCCCACTGAAGAAGCAGCAGTCACATCTTCAATATTACACTCAGGCTGTGCTTTCACTTTGCTTTTCCTGTTCAATAGCTGGCAGAAAAACAGAAGAAACAAAACCACCATCAATAAACATTATTGTTTATGAACAATAAACTTTGCTTCCCTATGGAGACAGGCTGAGAGAGCTGGGGTCATTCAGTCTCCAGGAGAGAAGGCTCCAGGGAGACCTTAGAGCCCCTTCAGTGCCTAAAGGGGTTACAAGAGAGCTGGAGAGGGATTTGGGACAAGGGCATGGAGTGACAGGACAAGGGGGAATGGATTCAAACTGACAGAGGACAGGGTTAGATTGGATATTAGGGAGAAACTCTTCCCTGTGAGGGTGGTGAGGCACTGGCACAGGTTGCCCAGAGAAGCTGTGACTGCCCCATCCCTGGAAGTGTCCAAGGCCAGGCTGGATGAGGCTTGGAGCAACCTGGGCTAGTGGAAGGTTTCCCTTCCCATGGCAGTGGGATTGGAACTAGATGATATTTAAGGTCCCTTCCCACCCAAACCATTCTGTGGTCATAGTTCTGTGTGATAATGGTTCTTCGGGACACAGATTTATGTGGACATTCTTAAAGCCAGGGAATGGTTAAATCCACACTTGCTTTTTGTGGTCCCCCTGGAAATGCCAACTCATTCCCAAGTCTGCATAGCTAGAAGGGTGTAGTCCATGGTGTGCAAACCTCCTTTTGTATTTACAGCTTTAGCATCAGTAAGGATAATAAAACAGGGTGAAAAACCAGGCATCTTTTGTCAAGGGACAGTGCATCTCTCTGGCTATCAGCATTGAAACATCCAGAGTGGTTAGCAATGCTCTTCTGAAGGAAACTGCTCACAAAATCTGGTCCAAATGCTATCTTCATGTCTGAAGTTGACCATGAATCCCAACCTCATCTGTCTGCCTGTGCACAGTGTGTGTATGGGAGAAGACCCAGCATGAGAAAAGCTCAGGGGTGCTTTGCCAAGGAAGATTGCCTGTTGGATGAGAAATATGATGGGTTTTGCTAGCAGCCTTATTCCCAGAGAAGGTGCCTGGTGGTCTCCTGGCCAGGGCTGACAGCAGGTACCAGTGGGAGGCAGCAGCTCATCTGCCTCATAACACCTCAAATCCAGAGCCCAGGCACCCTCTGGGGATGCTGCCTAACCTGCCAGGGACAGGCAAGGGTTCCCCTGTGCCTCCAGAGAGGCTGCTAACATGGTAATTACAAACAGAATCATCCTGTTATCTGCACCCAGTGGGAAAACTGGTCTTACTTTTAGCAGAAGAAAGAACAATCCCATCAGAAATGTTTTTTTTTCCAGGTAAAATGCACTGTAAGTTATAATACTAGTATCTTTGGAAGCCTAGCATAGAGTATGAGTCTTAGTATTATCCCTACTTAGAGTCAGGGATGAGTTTGTGCCTGTAATCCTATGATTAGTATTCATTTTGCATATGAACTGCAATACAGATTGTGTCCTTGCTACTCGTAGTTCAAATAGGCTCATAAGCACTTACTTTCTTTAGTGGGCAATGGATTTTTCTCTCTGGTTTCTGTCTTCTTCAGCTTGGTCTTGTCAAATGTTTCAATTTCTGCAAAATCTGGTTTGTCGGACATGATGGGTCCTGACAAAGAAAGGGAAAACACACCCATGGCTTCATTAGCTAGTGCTGTGATATCAGCCATCTGCAAAGCATTTTCTCCTCCAAAGGAAAAAAAAAACAAACCCATGAAAAAACCATAAAAATGTTTATTCAAAAAAACCCCCCCACAAATCTAACACCTCAATCTGTGACCTTTCCCCAAGGCTTGGCTCTTTCAGAGCAAAAAAGGAAAGGCATCAATAGAATTTTCTGTAGATTGCTCAGATGAATTTTCTAAAAATCATATTTTGCACATGGCAACAAGAACATTCAGTAATGAAGAGACAATGCATTAATTGCCAGTAATTCACGGTGCCTCCTGACGTAAAACTCTATTTAGAGAAATGCTGCTAACCGGAAAAATCCACAATAAACCCCAATTCCAATAGGAACAAAGAGCTTCAATTATGATTTTATTTTAATGAATAGGATTTGTTTTTAATTCTGAGCTCCCTGTCCTGAGCACATACATCCCCTGAGCTGCTGTGGACACTTGAGCATAACAATAGAGGACGAGTTCCCCCAGCCCTTTGTTTGCTCTCGCTCCATATCCCAGTCGCAGCTCAATGGGTTTGATTATACTCCATTATAAGAGAAATCCACAAAGCACACTGGCATTCAACACTTCACCTGTCAAAATTTCCCTAATCCAATCCCTCTTTTTAATAAGACATCGAAGCTCAAACCCAGCCTGAGTGTTATTCCCCTGATTTCAGTGGAGTTTCCCATCAAGGCAAGGTTTGGCCCGGAGATGGCTGAGATAATTATATTTTTCCCTTCCTGCAGAAAATCAGATTTCATTGCTATCTGCACTGAGACAACAGAAGTAAATATTCACAGGGAAAAAAAAAATTAAAAAAATATGAAAAGCTACAAAAACCACATGGCATTACCGTCTGGTTGCTCTCTCCTCAGCTGCTTGGTGGCCGTCTGAGGCAGTGTGAGTTGAAAAAGGTCAGGGTAATCCCTCCTCTCCTCTTCCCCTCCTCCCCCTTCCCGAGCCCATTGCTATTAATATTGATTAGTTTAGTGCTGGGATTGCTCAGCGTTTAGGGAAAGGACAGATTGCTCCTACAGAAAGTGCATGAGGGAGGGAAATGGGAAAACTGACATGGAAAACTGCCAAAATACATCTTGAATTTTTTCTTTTCTCCTCATTTCCCCTGACAATCATATTGAAGCTTCCATTCCTGCGCTTTTCCAATGCTGAGGTTCGGAGTAAAGGTGAGGTTTGGGGGCTGCTGCTGCTAGATTGGAGGAGATTATAGGTGAATTCAGCTGCAGCAAAAGGAGAATGCATTGTAGGTGCCAAGTGGTGCAATTCAGAAAATTAAAATGGTTTGGCTAAAATGGTTAAAATTTAAGATGGTCATTAGCCCTTGCCTGTGTTCTCAAGCCACGTTGGGTATTAGATGTGGATGCTACCTGTAGCCAGCTGCTAGAGCTGCTGGTGTCACGGGCTCTGGACATCCCTGTGGCTGTGATGTGGCTCCAGCTATGCAGCACAAAACTACTTGGGGAATCACTTTCCAAGGGAAAAGAGCAGAAAGGACTGTACACATCCTCTCAGATGCTGGTGTGGGTCTCCTCTCATGTACCTTTGGATGACTCCACCTGAAATACTTGTCTGCACTCCATGATAGCCAAAAGGGAGGCAACTAACTTGGGATAAAATTAATTACACCCGTAGAGTTTTGCTCTATGGACTATAAGGCAATGACAATGACAATTGCCTGGACAATGAGTTCAAGGAGACAGAGATGTCTCACAGGTGATTGAGAGCCCCAGGAAGGTCTGTGGACCTTTCTCTTGGCATCACAGGCTGAGATGGAATTGGTCTGAGTCTGATATGTGTGCGTGGAGAAGATGGTTTTAATGTGTATAAGTGTGTCTTAAGGATGTCTTCTTCCAATGTTTGTTTAAATGAAAATAATGAACAGGTTTGTGGTTAGACTAGATGATCTTAAAAGCCTTTCCTAACCTACATGATTTGTGCAGGCTGGGTCAGTTACCTCTGCATCTGCACTGCCTGTCCATGCAAAATCCATGTTTGTGTGCACCATATCTAACGTCAGGAATTGGTTCCTTTGCTTCCATCCCATCTGTCCAACCAGTTGTCACAAAGAGAAAGCTGTTCTTGACTGAAGCCCCCTGGGAACAAACAGGAAAGCAGCCACTGGGTGAATATTTGGTGTGAGCCCTAGCTGAGATTTGGCACTGAACAGTCTTAGTGTCTAAAGGGAGAGCATTAACCTCTTCTTGTTAGGCTGGACCCTTTAGAAGATCAGAAAAGACTTAAAAACACAATCTGAGTGATTTATGAATCCAGGCAGTGCAGGTTTGTAAATATTTGTCCATTTTCACAAGTAACAATTGCAAATCTGATTAAGCAGAGAGACTGCAAGGGCAAAACCTCTTAAACTTTTAGACTTGCACAAGTTCTCTCAGTTGTAGAGAGCAAACAAAGTGTTCAGGACAGCAAAGCAGAAGAATCTCACTTCTGGCTTTCTGTGCCCAGTCACAGGCTCAGCCTCCAAGATCCACAGTAGAGCTCAGGCTCTTCTAAACATGCTAAGACAGAGTGAGCACACTGGTCTTCACCACAATGATTGTAATTGCCTCATTTACTGGCAAACCTAGTTTTAAAAACAGTTTGGGATATACTGTTTGGGTTTTTAGGCTGAAGGATGATCAGGTTTTTCATTGATACTGGGTTGGGTTTGTGAGGAAGGCACAACAGTGTTAAGTCCACATAAATTAATGATGAGAAATGACATGTTCTCACTCAGGAGATATTCATCTCCATAACAAACATCTTGACCATTGCATAAAATGCCTGTCAGGTTACTGCAGCTTTTAAGTTTGGTCCTGTGGTCAAACACAGCTCCTGTAGGATTCAAACCTCATGTTTACATACTCTGTGCAGCACAGACAGCTGGATGCAGTTTACATATGGAAAGTTTGGAATTTGGCCTGAGGGCATTGCATACTGCATTGAGGCTGGGCGAGGGAGGGAAAGATGGGTAGGTAATATATTAGTTACATGCCTTTTCCATCCACTGGGAATGGAAATATTCTTGCAATATGAGCAGAAGGGTAATTATTTGTCAGGTTTTTAATGGCCACCACCTCCAGTAAAGGGAATGTGGCTTTTACCTGGCTGTGGGATGACTGTGGTTGCTATGAACCTCAACAGTCTTTGTGGTGCACAGAGGCAGCAGAATGATCCAGTGCATAGAAATGTGAAAAACCAGGAAGCCAGTGGAGCATGCAAACGATGGGATCTTTACAGATGCTCTACACATAAACCATGTTGGTATGGCTGTGTCTGAATAGCTGCCTCATACAATGGAAACTACATTTTATCTCCATCTGCTGCCAAAAGATGAAGGGCTGAGTCAAACCTGCCAGGACTGACACCTCTGATCCCAGTGAGTCACCTGCCATTGACAGCACTAAACCATGCCTGGCAGCACAAGCCACGAGTGTCTGTCAGACACCCACAGAGAGACAGGGGAAAACAAACACTTGCTACCAGGATGCGGTAATAGGTGAGAGAAAACATTTAAAGGGAGCTCAAAGTCTGAAGAGAGAGGCTGAGAGGTTTGGAGCCTGCTGCCACTTGACCTTTTTCCCCTGGCTGCTGCCTGTGCAGGGCTGGGGCTGCAGGGACACTCTTGTAGCTATTATAGACTCCAGCGCTGAAGCCTTTCACGGTCTGGGGGTTGCTGTGCTCATGTTTGGCACGAGGTGCTCTGGAAATGCCAAGTTTCATGGAGACGAGGTGGGCAAGTGCCAGAAGAAAGGGGTTTCTTTCTCTTTGGTGCAACAGTGGGAATCAAATCATCTCTGTTTCTCCAGGGAGCTGAGGAGGGACAAAGCACCCTAACACGAGCAGCCGGTTAGAGGAACAGATGCTCGAGCAGATCAGTGTCTGTAGCTGAGCCAATAAGCTGACACAACTGATTTTATAATCACATTAGTGCTGTCTTGAAATAACACACCCACTCAAATATAACAGTGATTTCATTTTCAAAATGTTGTGGTATTTTTGGGGCGAAAGGTAGGGGATTAATTTTTCGAGGTCAAAAGCTGGGCTGGAATCTGCACGGACCCTAATTCCTTTGGGTCCCTCTGAGCACTGAGCACCTTCCAGACAGGTAGCAGGATTGTGTGTGCTCTAAGCTGTCCTTAGAAGGTTTCCCGTCCTTAGGGGAACAGGGAAAAAAAAAAAAGACTACAGCTCCTCTGAAAGGGTTTTCTTAGTTCTCTTTGTGCCTTTTGTTCTGTCTTGCTGCCAAAAAAAATATCCATGTTTGGGAACGGAGACAGGTTCCCAGGCTAAGAGACAATGAATCCTGGGGGTGTAAGGAAGGCACTGATCCCTCTTTGGCAGACTGTCTGCTGTAATGCTGCACTGCTAGTGAGTAAATGCTCAGTATTTGTCTTATACTCTATGATTTATCATTACCTAAGGTGTTTCATTTTCCTTATCGAGACCATTGAACCATAAAGGTAAGTACATACAGAAGAAGAGGGAAGAGGAGGGGCAGTTGTAGAGAGTCCTTCTGCTTGGGCTATTTTTTCCAGCCCCATCCTTTCCAAATAGCTCTGGAGTTCAGACAGTCTATACTAGGAGTCCCATTGCAGCAAAGAGCAAAAGGAGAAAACAGAAGCTAGTGGGAGTAGAAATTTCCTCTCTCTCTCTTTTTTGATATTCTAAAACTTGGTATGGGGGTGAATTTTTAAAAGTTTAACCAGATGGAGAATCTTGCAACTGAATTTTCTTGAGAACTGACCCAAAAGTGTGTCTTCCAGCAGAAAGTACTTGTCTTTGGCCTGGCTTTTTCTAGCAAAATGTGGTGACCCATGTGTGCATTATTAAAGGAAAGAAAAACAAAACCAAAATGTCCATGCACATGCTTCTCTCCCAAAGACAGGGTGGGGAAAGAAGCATGTGATGTATTAGTCACATTAGTTAATGCTTTAGAGCACATGATGGTTTGTGATGAATGCTGGTCTAGAAACACAAGTTTAGCATGACTTTGAGTCTTTACTAACAGTCTCTTTTTCTCTCTCTCCTTACTGTCTCTGGACAGAAGCATCTTCTGCAAGCAGCAGCTCTTATGCAAGGAGTAAGACAGGGAAGTCTTGGATGAGCATTGGGAGTGTGCTCAAACATGGCTCTTCTCAGTATAGTTGGCTGCTCTGGAATTAATCCACTCCTGGAATTCTCACTTTGTTTGCTTTAAATAGGAGGAACATCACCATTCCTTAAGAAGTTCAAACTGTGGCACTTAGTGTGCAGCAAATAGCTAACCAACATAATCCAAGAGGAGATAAACAAAGATAATAAAATCCAGAGATCTCCGAACTTTATATTAACTTCAGATTTTATTTCTGTCCAGAGGAAAAAGGACAATAGGTGGGTCTGTCGTTACAATCCAT